GCCACCTGGACGCATGGCACAAATCACACAAATCTCTGGCAGGTGAGATTAAATTGCACGGAACTTAAAGCAGACTCAACTTTAAAGTAATCGATTTTTCCAAAACAGGAAATGAAAGGCAGACAAAGGAGCCGGCCAACGACGACGAATAAAGTGACATCTACTTTGTCAATTTTATTTTCAACAAGAACTCTCATTTGAGAGGGCCCGCATTTCGGAAGACATCTCTTGTTGAAGACCTGGAGGAAGGGCCGAACAACAGCAACCGAACAGCAAACATAACAGTACTATTCGGCAGGAGAACCCATCACCCCGTGTGATAACTAGTGAGAGAAGCCGTCCTAAAGATCTGCGCACAGGCCTTTGTGTGAGTTCCCGACAGGATTGGAGTTTTATCCAAGCAGTTAGAGGAGTCAGAAGTCCAGCTGTCTCCAGGATACTAGCTGATTGGTCAAGTTTCAGTCCGAGCTGGGACATTCCCGTATATTCTTTTTGTCGCGCTACATGCGGTCTTCGGATATTTCAATACAGTTCTTTTCTTTCATCTCACTGAGTTGAATTCTGATTGGGGGATTCAATCGAAAAGAGAGTTGTGGGAGGAGCGCTCAACGAGGCAGCGTACGGCGAATTTACGACAATAAATTACAGTCGGGAATAAAATTAACATCTCCATGTTTGTCATCAGGAATGCAGTCGACTGGGTGAGGGGGTAGGACAGAACGATGGGTATTGAAATCTAGCAAGAAGTCGGCCAACCGACGCTTCGAAATCCCACCTGTCTACCGAGCCCTACGCAGCCTAACTGTAGGACACTAACACCCACGGGGAACATCGGGCAGGTTTATCCAACTTGTCAGTCCCCCCCACTTGAACGGCTTATTTTGTTGCTTGTTCCACACCTCCGCTGATGCGCCCGAGAACATAGGTTATTTACGGCCGAACAATTTTGAAATTCTCCACGTTCACCTCCTGCGAAATCCTGTCTGACCTAAATACGACTGTTCCTCTCTTCCAAAAGCTGTCCCCTTTCTCTGTTTTGCGTTTTCATCGAACCCCCTCCCCAAGAATGCTGGCAGCCTTCTCCCCTTGACCCATTTTGCTCGAGTACACACGTGTGTCAAAGACAGTCACGACCGCAAAAGTGCCTCTTGAACACGCCACCCTCCCCCGTCTCAGACCGGTGAAGGAGCGCTGTCTCGAGCCAGCATCTGTTGCGATTGGTTGACCTGAACACCGTTGACCCAGTTTCCCTTCGTATGCAATATAGCCGCGATTGCTCCGAGGGCCACTTGCAGACCCCTTCCCCCTCCTTGGCCGACACACATTTTGGACCTCCATATACGACACCCCCTTCCGGGCAAATGTTCATACTAATCGGATGTCACATGAATTGGCCGCAAAGTCACATAAAAGCAACGGTCGCCCCCTCTCTCACTGACACGCACGCTCTCCCAAGACTGACTTCACCCCGCACCCCTACGCCTTTGTTGAACGTGCGTTAGGCGATATTTGGCCTACTCCCTTGTTCTTGACTACTTGTATCCATCGGTAAGGTTTGTACCTCCCTTATCCTTTACTATTTGTTTAATAGTATCGTACTACATTGACAGTTGTTATCATTGGGGTTTGACGTACGCGATACTGCTGGATAAAGCATCAGAGGAGGCAACAAAACCCAAAAAACACTACTAAAGTGCCCAAACAATACCCTACATTCCCCCCACGTTGGATTCCCCTTCCAACAGTTTCTGGGCACGGTCAATTTTTTTTCCGTATCGCAAAAAGACGAAACTTATTGTTAAGAAACAAAAGCAATTTAGGATTGACATGCCACTAAAGAGCCACGAGATGAGAATGGATAGCGCATGCAATACGTGCGTTACAAAACGCTTACGTTCTACAAAAGCTAACTACCTAGAAATGGAGTTTAAAAAAACAGCCAATGAAAAAAGATAGGTTGAGGGGCAGTGCGCAATGTCTGCGAATGTGATTTTTCGTGCGCAGAA